CAGAGAGACAGAGAGACAGAGAGACAGAGAGAGAGAGAGAGAGAGAGGGAGGGAGAGGGAGAGAGAGAGAGAGAATGGGCATCATTTATATAATTTAAATTGTTTCTGATGCTTCTTTAATCTCAGAATTCATCAGCTAGCTATTTCATCCATCATAGCAAAGCAGATTAGGGTGTTCTGTTGTGTTAGCTAATTTCTAGAAGAAAAAGCTTCATGTCAAATGAAAATTAATTTGGAGCATCTGGGGGATTCAAATGTACTCTATGTTATCTTTCTTCTTCTTTCTGATATAAAGAAGAGAGAGATTATGAAAGGATGATTACAGTGTATGATAGTAGGTACATTTTAAAAACCAATATTCATAATGTGCCCTTAATTTTGGACCTAAAGTTTATACGAATTTACATTAAAACCTATGAAAATGATTAGGAGGTAAGAAGAAATGAATTATATATATAACATGTCCCTTCAAACCATTTATGTATTTACTTTCTAATGAATCAAAATGTCCATTTTGTTCTGAGTTTTTCTTTCCGTTTTCCTGGCATTACACACAGAATGCAACTGTCAGCTGTCAAGTCAATAGAAATAAAAGACTAGCACTCTTTCTATGTTCCTTGTCACAGAGGAGCATTTTTTTCTCTCAGAAAGATGGGTGTCATGCAGCTGTTTCTTAAAATAATACATCGGAAATGTTACATTAGACTTAGGCCAGAGCTGTAAGTTATAAAATAAATAAAACAAAGTAAAATAAGTGTGTCCTCAGTTGATGCATATAATACACGGACTTATTTTACACATGTGTATCCCTTGTATATTCTTAGTTCTTCTTTTATTTATCATTAGTTGATAACCCGGCATTGCCCAGGTATTTATGTATCCTACTCCTCTATTAGACAGAGAAACCCCTGATTTCAGCGACAATGAAATTAGTTACAAATGTTTTTCCTGTGCCCCCAGAAGTGTCAAAACCTTGCTGTTTGGCTAGCTGATCCATGATCATGTGGTATGCTTTTTTCTGATCTTGATTTAGAAGTGGCTTTTTGTCCGTGATATTTGCACTAAGCTGTTCGATGTTGTAGTTCTTTTCTCATATGTAATCTGTGTGAAATACGTCATGTCGGTCTCGTAGTGGTGCAGGCAGGTCGAGTTGCAGTAATGTTTTATTGATCATGGTCATATACATTTGTCCTCAAAAATAATCAAAGCCTTGTTGAAAATGTCCTGAGCAAATGTAATTTCTAATGTTGGATTTTCTCCCTTAACAGAGGGATCCCCCTTGTGGAGTACTGTGAAGCCGTTACCATGGCAATTCCACTGCACTGTACACTAGAATCCATTTTACAGAAGTATAGTAGAAGCCGTTTTAAGGCACAACAGGCTGTATCTTAACAGAATACACACCTCAAGGAGTGTTAGGGGTGCTTACCCCCACAGTATTTGTTTCCAGAGAGTAAGTCGTCTGTGTAACAAGTTTGGTTGAAATTGCTCAAGGTGTTCAAGATAGATATCACCACAGAAAAACATTATTTTAGAGCTCTACTCTTCTTAGCTTACATAGATGGAAACCTTGAACATCCTACCAGAATAAGCAAATAAGATTGGCTAATTCTTTGCATGTGGCCCAGAGAAACATCATATTGTTGAATGCTGCCAAATGGCAAGTAGGTGTGGAATGACATACTTTGGAATCACCCAAGAGTTTGGTATAAGATGGGCAGGTATATAATTGTTTTAAATAAATAAATATTCCCCATATCAGGTTCTGTTGAAAGATTATCCACCAGAGCAGAGTTTCTCATTCTCGGCAACATTCAGATGTGTGGACATCATCTCCCAGAATTCTCCAGCCACTCTCAATATTGCCCATCATCCCCTATGCTGGTTGTGGAATTCTGGGAGTTGAAGTCCACACATCTGAATGTTGAGAAGGGTGAGAAACATTACACCAGAGTAATCAATACCAATAAACACATCTACTTTGTGCAGTGTTCATGGAAAATTATTTGTCCTAATTCTTTAGATGTCTGCACTTCATTCAGTCTGATTGGTTTTTAAACCGGAATGTTCTTCACAGTGAATAGAAAGGATGCATGGTAATGAAACAAAACTTTATGTCAATCAGGTTTAGTGGAATTTAATCCTCTGCAAAGTTGTCCTTAAATGGAGACCCAGCTCTCCTGAGAAATCTGTAATGTTGGGAAAGGTGAAAAGAAAAAAGAAGAAAAAAAATGACCAGCAGCAATGTGGAGAGACTCAATTACAGTGACAATGGATGTAGTTTTGGAAAATGTGAAGGACCAGACAGGGGACAGATCACTCCAGAGAAAATATATCTGTGCTGTTGCTAGTAATTGACCACAATATGGTGGTAAATAATCATAATAGCATTGAGGAAATTGAACTTATGAAATTTATTAAAAGAAATATACAACACAGAGTTTAAATTGTTGTGGCAGTACAAATAGGAAATTTCTAGACATTTGAAGGGAATGGGAAAAATATGTTTCTTGTATCTGGTTTTCTTTTAGACTTAAAAATGGTGTGTGTGTGTGTGTGCGCGCGCGTAATATATACAATTTAAGGTATATATAAATATTTTATGTTAAACTTAGATTATTCCTGAACCCATCAGCCCAAAATTATAGCACTTTCATCTTACTAAAATTCATTCTCAGTGTATTGGTTCTTGTCCAATCAACATTATTTTTCACTCTTATTTCTATGTTTATATTGTTATTCATCCTGTAAAACATTAGATCCTTACCCTAAGAAGTATACTTAACCCAAGGGAAAAATCAAACAAAAGAATGAAGGTTAAACTAACTGAGAAAATAATATGTGTATATTTCAATTGTTGTTGCTCATAATTACCTGTACATAATTAATTATAGTAGGTGGGGGCAAGGAACTGTTGGTCCCAAAGTATTGCTGGAATGAAATTCCTAGCAGCTTCACTGAGGAAGACCAAAGTTGAAAGATGTATGGCACTGTAATGTGTTTATTTGATTGTGATTGATTAGGTGCCATCAATTTGATGTTAACTCTAGAGATAACATAAATAGACTTTCCACAGAATTATCTAACCCCAACCTGGCCATTCAGCTCCTCCAGTGAGAAGCTAATGGGACAGTTCAAAGGAAATAAACTTTGAGCAGCAAGTTCAGATCCAGAATACAGATTTTTTTTAAAAAAAGAATTTTAAAAACTGTAGTCCACAATTGCTCTCAGGTAAACTCTCAACAATCACTGCAAACACTTTTCTCAATGAAAGACTGATTTGTGTCAGTTCCAGCTGTGACGGGGCTGTTTTGATATAGAAACAAAGTCCCATAGAGGCCTGAAACATTTTCCCTTAAAATGTTTTAATATGTGATGGCTACAATAGAAGTGAAAAAGAAGCAGATAGATGAATGTGGGTAAGTCCCCCAGTTCTATTCTTGATTGACATTTAAATACAAATACACCAAAAGCATTACATTTTAGTAAAATTGGGAAATTTCAAGAGTAGCAGTATTATGCAACAATATATGTATAGGCACTAAGTATTCAACTGTCGTGCTTTTTAAAAGCAAACTTGAACATTAAACTTCATAGATTCTATAGAGAACATGCAGTTTGGAGTTGCAGAGATTTTTATTCCTATTTGCTGGAAAGCAGGACATGCAAGAGAATTGCTGATTTGACTTTGACAGGTAAGAGTCACCAGTGAGTTATTAAAGCATGGAGATGTGGGTGACATGTTCTCCATGCAGTCCTCCTAATCTTTCGTCTTCTTTTTTTAATTTTCAGATGTTCCATTAGCAGTGCAACATAACATATCTAAATAGGAGTCTAATCAGCATATGTGAATGAAAAAGAGATAATATCAGTTCTTAGGCATGGAAATACCTTGAGTTATCCTTGCTGGCATGTCTCCAAAGTCACAGATAGCTAGAAATAAATGTTTCATTGGAACATACTAGCAAATAAACCTAGGTGAAAGTCTTATGCATGAACCATCTATGTGCCATCTAAACATTCTTATAATGATACTTGATATTGAAAGGTCTTATCCTGTTGTTTTTTTAAATGTATGGCAAGATACAAATTACCAACATTATATTCCGAAATAACAAGGGTGGAAGGACCAAGAAGCAACTAAAACTGTGTAAAGTGTTGCATGCATTAAACACTCAGATTGGAATGTTACGCTGTCTTCTGCATAGTAATGATAAGAGGGCTATAGATGACTTCCAAATACCTTTACAACATTTCTCTCAGTTTACTTCTCTAAATTGCTAACAATAGCACAACAAAGTGATTTTGTTAGAGCTGTCATATATCTTCCACTCATTATCTTGAAGACCTGAGATTGATTTACAAATTACCTCCCACGTGATGACAAGTTCAGATCGGCTTCCTCCACCTCCGCTGACATTTGTGGGTGCCACTGTGGGAACTAACAGAGAGAGAGAAAGAAAAAAAAAACATACACCAGACATTTATTTTTATTATTTATATGTATGTGTATATTTATATTATTTATATTTTTTATATTTTTTATATTATTTATATTATTTATATTAGTTACATTAGTTATATTAGTTACATTAGTTACATTAGTTATATTAGTTACATTAGTTATATTAGTTATATTAGTTATATTAGTTATATCTATATTTATATCTATATTTATGTCTATATCTATATTTATTTATCTGTCAAAGCACCTGGTCTGCCCAAATATGGGAGGGAACATACTGCTTCCCTTTTGCCTTTCAGCCCTACTCCAGTCACTTACACAACAAACCATTTTGTGTTACATTTTTGCTGATAAAAAATGAAGGGAGACTAGTATAGATTTATTTCAAGCTATTTAGCTCTCATCAACTAACCGTACCCTTACTGGGATTTGAACTTGAGCTTAGAAGTTAATACAACTGCCTAATATGTAAGTAGCCCAAGTTCAAATCCCAGCAAGGGTATGGCTAACTAAATAGCTTGAAATAGATCTATACTAGTCTCCCTTCATTTCTTTATCAGCAAATGTCTCTCTCTCCCCTCCTCTCTCTCTTTCACACACACACAAACACACACACACACACACACACACACACACATGTTCTGTCTGTCATATGCATGCATGATTCTGTGAAAAGAAGAGGAAATTCCAAGTCACATAGTGATATACATCACCAGAGCTAGCTATGGGAAAAGAATTGTNTATAGATATAGATATATAGATAGTATTCTACCTATAACAACATAATGAGATGGAAACTACTTAAGCAGAAAAAGGATCAGTTGCCAAAAGTGAAACCCATATGGTGAAATAGCACACTAGAGCAAGAACAAAGACACATGTGAAATTAGTGAACAGACAAGGTTATTTTAGAGAAAACAGCAGATGGTACAGATGGGAAGCATATATTTTGGCTGAGAATATTTAATAGGTTTTCAACAACAACACCTCATAGCCAAGAATCCTTCCAGTATGTCTGGTCCATACAAGAGGGTTCCAAGAGACTTCCATTTCAAAAGATGAGAAGCTTTGTACTGAAATGCCAGTTGGTGCGATCTGAGGCTCTAGGAAAAAGCAGAGGCACAACAAACCTTGATGCTTAATTTTTAGCAGGCTATTCCTAAAACATTGGGACTGCATAGTTGTTAAACCAAAAAATAGAAGAAACTTCATCATAGAGATCCTGAAATAATAAGATTTATAATCTCATCCGTAAGATTTATGACTTAATTGAAAGACTTTCTGTGTATTAAGTATTAAACCACTGCATCATGTGCGTATTGCATCAGCCATATTACTGGGAGCACTTCAGACAGGTTTCCAAATTCTGTTTCATATGACAGAAATAGATAGAAATATGAGATATGTACTACTTTACTTACCATCCTCTCCAGAATACACAAGAAATACTGGGCTCAGTGTGCCTATTCCTTCATGATTAAAGACACCCACTTTCACTTCAAAGGGAAATAATGATGGGATGCTTTCATTTCTGTAGATATATTTTGATGCCTCCACTGAAGTCACCACTGCTTTAGTCCAGCTGAAGGAGCCAAGGGGCCGAAACATAATAAGGTATCCAAATCCTTCCCCATTTTGTAGTTCTTCAGGAATGGACTGCAAGAAGCATAATAAATCACTTCTAACCAGTGTACCTGCTCTCTTCATCCCATCAAATATTTTATGTGTATTGACTTGGTTGACTGGCCTTGAAGAGAAAATGTTTGTACCACCAGCCAACATAGTATTGAAAGCAACAATTAAAAGAAAAATCTATTGAGACAATCAATTTAGAGACAAAAGACCTAATCAGCACCATTAAAATTATATACTTTAACAAAATGGAGAGAGAAGGGTCAATGGGAAAAAATAGCAACATTCTATAACATGAACCAGAGCAATTAAGAACTGAAACAATGTTTTTTAAAAATTAAAATACCACATAAGAGTGATGACAGAGCTCCCAGCCAAACTGACTGAGAGACCTGATAAAAGATTGACAAAGGATAACATAAGAGATAGAAATTTATATTGATAGTCCCAAATAACTAATTATCTTACATCAATGGGGGCTTCGTACCAGTTCCGACCGGTTTGGCCAAACTGGTAGTGGCTTAGTGGCCTGGATCACTGGAACCAGCAGTGACCCAGGCCTGCCAAACCGGTTCTATGGGTGGCGCTATAGATGTTGCCACCTTGTTTTTCAGTTCTGCACATGTATAGAACAATTTTAATAGCACTGTGCATGTGTGCGCAGCACACACATGAGTGAATCAGCAGTAGTCCCTGCTGGAACCCACCCCTGCCTTACCTGGATTATTTTTTAAAAAAATCTCAACTCTAAATTAGCAATAAGGTAGTCAACCAGACCCAGCCTAGGCACTTTGATCTTGTCATTAAGCTCTTCATGCATACATATATAGAGTAGATAGAGTAGATGATAGATAGATAGATAGATAGATAGATAGATAGATAGATAGATAGATAGATAGATAGATAGATAGATAGATAGGTAGGTAGGTAGGTAGGTAG